TATGAGAACACATGCAAGCGCGGGAATTTCTCTTCCAACTACTAGCTTTATAGTCAATCAAGAAGCTAAAAAATGTTATTGACGCAAATTCCAATCAGTTGCTTAAAGTTCAGAGTTTCCGTGTGACTTCTGCAGAAATTCAAGCAGTGAATTCTTTTGAAATAAATTTTAATATTATACATGATCACTTTTATCCGGCTATTGAGCTATTACATAAGAAGATTTATATCATAAGACTTATTGTCTCTTCGAATACATTGGTCTCGAGGATGCTCCGGTTATGGTTTTAAAAACTTCGCGCCCACCTAAGTTAATATCACAAAATACTATCAGAGCTAGTTTGGGAGTGGAGACGAAGTTCACATCGAGCGCTGGTCATCACAGACTCAAAGGAAAAGAAAACTCGTGTCAATGCAACCCTCGCTACGCTCGGGCTGTAAACTGACACTCTTGCAAGATAGACAACCCTCCGCCTCAGTTACATAATGTACTATATTCAAATTCTAGTAAATTAAGGGGCTCTGCTATGTACATTTCATCCGATGATAGGAAAAAACATGCTGCCCGTAAATTTCTTACATCAATAAACGCATCATTCGCGGACATTTTACATTTAAACAAAAACGATTTCTCGGACCCCGTATAACGATTATGTAAAACATTCTGAATGATGTCTATTTTATTAATGTTAGCATAATACTCAGCATTATCACATCGACAATTTTTTAAGCAATCGCATTCGCTCACTTTTACTAAATATCTTATCATACCAAAATGTGTACTTTCTTCATGGCAGTATTTTACATATTTAGATGTAGTTAATATTTGCCTCTTATAAAGATCTGAAGAATATAAAATATTTTTTATTTTTAGACGATAAAACGAAAAAATATTTTTACCTGGGAATCTCTAGACAAAAAAATTATTCGAACAGACAATGTAAATTTATTAGAATTGATGTTGATGTTTATTAGAAGATCCAAGGATGTATATTAATTCCGATATACAAATTGCGTTTTTATTACTTTTTTTTCAATAGAGATAAAAATTCGAAGGCCTTTGTACCTTCTGGAATCGTACATTTCAAATGAAATGTTTTCATTAATATGACAAGCGATGAACAAATTTGCAACTGGGCAGAGTGGCTACTATGTACAAAATTTTTTAGTGGTTCATTCAAATCCTCATAAACAAAACAAGCCAGAGTCCAAAGAGGACCCAAATCACTGACTGCTTGGCTCAAATGAAGTAATAAATGAACATTGGCAGACATATTTTTTAATAAATATAATCTCTCAAAGTTTTTTACGTATGTTTTTAACATTCTTTCTGCAACGTTAATTTCATTCTCAGAAATCGACGGTTGAGATCGTAAGAAAATAGCTAAAACTATCAATATACGTAATATTTTTCTTCTAAAATATCTTTTAAAATTGGCAGTGAATAGTAAAAAAGGAATTTTTCAATTCTGACGATTTGAAATAGCTGAGATGTTTTTCTATCGATCTAGGCCTACGCTGTACAAATGGCGGAGGTATTATTGAACAAATTCATGAATCAACTAACTGCACAGAATGTGATATTGAAAATTCTTCATCTTTATTTTCTTTATTAAACAATAAAGTAATTAATTTTTTGGCTACCCCAGAAAAAATATTGTGCATAACATCAATTCCAGTTGATTTTATTGGCTTATAATCAAACGTTGAAAGTATTGTTTTCCCTTTTACTCCTAAGACAATTTAATTTGAGTTTAGAGCTTGTAATGCTTAATTTTCAGTATCACTATCTGTTCTCAAGATCGTATTTTCTTTATACCAGTAGACCCATCTGTCAGATTCACTCTCTCCTTTTTGGTAACATCTCATACAGCCATATTTACCATTAAATTGGGTCATATTCAAAAACAAAGATTTTGCAGGCAAATCACAAGTACCACTCATTATGACTCCATGAAATAATTTTTCCTCATAATTAATATTTATTCGAATACCGCGGTATAGCTCAGCCAATTGATCAAATAATCCAAAAAGTAATAAATTGGGTATTGGTATTACATCACCGAACCATATACCTTCCAAAATTAAATTTTCAGATTTGCATCGCTCAGTGATTTTCAAATTATTGAAAGTTAAGTAGAAAGGCCAAATACTAAATTTTGATGATTTAAATATGGCTATACCGTCGTACACCATGTGAGTGAAAGTAAATTTTCATTAGATAATGGATGGGGATTTTCCGCTTAAAATTCTTTGAAAACATTACCATCGAATATATCCTCCAAGTTGTTGTCGTTAATTTTTTGTCTTCTATTTACAAACTGAATTTTTTCATAAAAATCATCTCTAGAAAATTTATCATGAATTTGGTTAATAATCGATATTGTTCGATACGTAACCATGGCCACCGGGCGATCAAAGATTGTTTTATTATAAACAACGAAATAACGGGCACTGTCGAGCGAGCCTCCAGAGAGACACTTCAATCGCTCTCGATATAAAATCCAAAAATCTAACTTTATTTTGCAAAGGATCACTCGTTTTGTGAATACCTTTGATAGCGAGGCCTCGGCCAATTCTTGTTTAAATTGTGCTCATTTAATAAATAAAAATAGTGAGTTTTTTGAACGTTAAGTTTTTCTCACTTTAAAAAAAGTTGTTGTTAATTTATTATTTATTTTAAAAAACAAAACTATTGTGACTCATTCGAAAGAAGAGTACCCGAGCCTACATTTTGGTGCCGTGACCAGGATCCAGCCTCGATCTTCAACCCGAGCTCACAACGTCAACCGATTCTCACTGCCACTCTCACTGCCATTCGTCCTTCATCATCGACCTGCTGCCCTCTCGATCGTCTCGCCAGACCGGAATCAGAAATAACAAGCCAATTTAAATACCATTTAATTATCTATTTTTGGGGTTCTTGCAATTTTTGATTCGAGTCTAATGTAAATTCTTTCTCGTGTGTTGCAATACACAGTCTTGGTTGGGCGTTAGCTATCAAGATAGGCATCTCACACATACATTAAACAATCCAAAATAATTACAGTTGTCGTGGAAGTTGCAATTCGTTTAAAAAAATGTTACCCTGTTCGCTGACAAAAATCAGTATAGAGATTTCTTGGTTAGCTCGTTGTCATTGACGCGTTGCCGCGACTATTATTTGTTTCGAATTGTCGCATCAGTACATTGAAAAATGACTCGAGTAAAATTTATAAACCAAAAACGCTTGACCTTAAAGGGACAGATCACTCAATTAGAAAAAATATTGTCTAATCCATTAGACAGTCCGGAAAAAATTGCATCTGTAAAAGCGCGTAAGGTTCGATTAGAAAAATTGTTCGAAACGTATGTCGAATTAAATGATGAGCTTGCATTGCTCGTACCGGCAGACGACGAAAATCTCATCGATTTTCTGACAGTCGAAGAGCGGTATTTCGATGTAGTTGGTAGATGTGACGCGCTTAACCCATTAGCGCCCAGACGGACACATGGAAAAAATTTTTTCCATGACAAGGATACATCTGGGGAAAAAAGTTACAAATGAAAAAGTTCTTGAAATTGTTTAAAGAACACTCTTGAATTTTTTCAGAATTTTTCGAATAATTTTGGATTTTTTGAGTTTCATCATTTTCCGAAAATTCAAAAATTTTCTCGAAAAATTCTGAAAAAATTCAGGGTTGTTCTTTGAACAATTCTAAGAACTTTTTCTATATAACTTTTTTTTCCTAGATGCATCCTTGTCATGTAAAAAAATTGGTTTAGCTCATATACGGTCTTTTTTCTACGAAGCGCCATTTTGTTTTGAAAAATGTTCAATTTCGATATTATGGATATTGGGCTTTTCAGTTTACATCCCATGGACACCTTTAATGTGCTCGGGACCTATGTATCAAGCCTATTTCTGTTTTTAAATTCGAGTTGAAATCGATTTATTTTTTTTAATTCGTGTTTTTTTTTTTGTTTAATTGTTTATAGCTTTTGAACAATAATTTTAAGATTAATTTTGAAGCCATATTCGAAAAGGGCATTAAATTTTCCGTTAGAAACATGCACTCGTTAATTTTTAGTAAAATTCGGAATAGTAAAGATATTTGCCTGAAGTTCAGTTGAAAAAAGTGTCCGTCTGGGCGCTAATGGGTTAACATAGGACAAAGCCACGCTTTTGCCTCACGAGTTTATGAAGCCGGTTTTTTGCGCTGGCGAGACAATACATAAAGTACTATATATAATTTACAAGCAATAGTGATAGATTACCATTTTGCTCAATATTAAGCGACATGATTCACTACTTCACTATTAATAGTATAAATGCACTGCTTTTATCTTATCTACGCAATATTGATATTTTGATTAAATGTTATTAGAAGATGATTATTTTCACGCGGAAAAAATCGCAATGTTAAGATTATTTTGACACCATAGAAAAATATTAAAGTGCATTGTCTGCATAAAAAATTTATGATTACATTTGAATAAGGTTATAAAATGAGAAATGTTACAAATTTTACTCGATAATATTTATAAAAAATGTTAGACGCGCAATCTTATGATTTCATTCTTAAGATTCTTTTATTATTTATATATATTTTATGCATAAGTCAATCAATGCAAAACTTTGCTCTATTTTATCAATACAAAGACCAGTAATTTTTTCCCGTATAAATAAAATTTATCGTTCACTCATAAGACTATTTAACTGATTTTACACTGATAAGATATTTTCAACTTGTTATACAATTGTACTACAAATAAACTTTGAATGAAACGTACGTAATAATTGAATGCCAATATTGAGTCCACATTTTTGTTATTCAAAATTTAACTTAGGTGCTTATGCATAATATCCTTTATGAATTGAGAATCGTCAGCTTTGCAGATTTTTTGCAGTTCATCAAGCACAAACTTAATACACAAGATACTTGTGTATCATTAAATTAACTATTATTTTTTCATGTGTCTTAAAATGTCAATGAAATTATTTATTGAAATTACAAAATATTTTTATAAAAGTAAATTTATTTCACGAAAATTCGATATTTCATACATGTTTGAACTGAATTAAGAATTAAACGTTTGTTTCGCCTCTTCCATCAATTCGTAAATAATATTTTTAATTTTTTCTTCATAAACTGGGTCGGCATCTAAGTTAGATTTTATAAAACTATTACGATCGTGCATGAACCAGTTAGTCAACAATTTTGCGTCATTCATGAGCTTGGCCACCTCAGTTGGTTTCAAGTGAAGTCCAGGTCCGTACATTGCAGCATAGGTCATTCCAACTAATTTATGCTTTTGATAATTTTTCAGCATTTCTGAATAAGACAATACTCCATTTAGTTCACACGAATTCTTGACCAGCGTTTCACTAAAAACTGAGTAGTAATGTTTGAACAAAAGCATTTCATTCGTTTTTCGATACTCAAGGGTCGTATTTAAGTAGAGAAACATGTGAATATCGACGGCTGGTGATGCATAACGTAGTAGCTGAAAATCTACGAGTATGCAACTTGATTCTCCGCCTTCATCATTGAACATTATGTTGTTCCTCCATAAATCAGAGTGACATATAACATTGCATTGATCTTTTCGTTCTCTCACTAAATTGTGAACTCTATCGTGTATTTTAGGCACAAGGTTGACACTGTCTTCGAAACCATACTTGGTTGCCATCATTTTCATTGCCTCATAAGCAATTGGAGTTGAGAGTGCAAATTTTTTATTTTTTGTATATACTATTTCTTCAAATGATCCAGGAAAAGCTTGTTTCAATGATCTGCCTAATTTTTTTTCCGTTAAAACTGACGATGCATGAAATCTTGCTAAAGTCGCCAGTGTTTGTTTGATTGATTGACCATCCATTGGGAAATCGGATCGAGTTGTATAATTTTGACTTCGCAAATCTTCAAAAACAAGCAAGTTTTTTTTTGTTAAGTAACAGTTTGGAGACCATGATTCACCTTTATAATTTTGCATCATAAGCGGTTGAATTTGCTGATAAAAATGCACTTCCTCTACAAACGTTGATTCGTCCATGATGAAATCGGTGATTAAGGATGATTCTGGCGGTGTTTTAACGAAGAAACTCTTGGTTATATTAGCTCCAGCTAGCTCAACTTCGACCACTAACAATCGATGTTCGCCGAAAATACCATTTTTTCCGTCCGAAAAAGGTTCTATACGATGATCGAGCACTTTAGCATGGGGACTAATTGCCCGAGAAATTATAACGTATACATCTTCGGTCAAAAGAGACATGTCGTTACCGGTCTGTGCTAGCTACTGATGCAAACTAAAGTTTTGCGATTGCGTATCGTCAATTTATATGATTTCTAAAATGGAGAACGCAAACCTTCAGTAGCAATATACATCGACGATAAGATAAACACGTTGCGACTTGTTCAGAACAGGCTTTAACAAGTTGAGTCTCAATTGCGCACTGCTAGATTGTCTAGTGAAATTCATTCCTTGATTTTCAATTGTGCATTTGTCTCAGTATAAGAATGATATTCTGTTTGCACACAATGTTCGATGAAACAATTATATCAAGAGTTTTGTATTTCCTCGTAGATTGAACACTAGAATTGAAAAATGCATTCAAGACTACAATCGAAAGCTCGAAAAAAAACGAAATACCGGTAATGCTTGTGTAGTATAGAGTAGCAAAATATTCACGTAAGCAATTTGCTAAATGCTCTGCCATCGAGCACATCGAGCAACTAAGAACTTCAGATATGTATATGGGCTATTCCACAACAGGTGTTGCAGGTCAAAAAAATGAAGTTGAAACTTACCATGTACTCTTCAAGAACACAATGAAAAATGAAAATTTTGAAAATCTCAGCCTCCTAGGTCCAACCCTCATGGATCTACAAGGGCTCAAAGTTGGATTTTCATGTTTTGAGGATATTTTGCTTATTAACTCTGCTTTTCTGGGGTGCAAATGAAAAAATTTCTAAACCATGTTTTTTTTTTTTAAATTTGATGTAGAATTCAAATCTATATTCAAAAATGACATTCATAACCTTAAACCCCTTAAAATTGAAAAATAGTGTAAAATACCATGAAAGTCAAAAAATAAAGTTGTTTGTATACCTCAAATTGGCTAATATTGTAACATGTTCTCATACAAATAAAAATACAACTTCTGATAAAGTTTGGTAAATGAATCACCATTACAGACAATTTGGTAGCTTGCGGTAGAGCTAAAAACATAGATTTTTCCTCATTTTCCATGTTTTTTAGCTCTACCGCAAGCTACCAAATTGTCTGTAATGGTGATTCAGTTACCAAACTTTATCAGAAGTTGTATTTGTATTTGTATGAGAACATGTTTCAATATTGGCCAATTTGTGGTTCAATATTGGCTAATTGGCCATTTTATATGAAAAAACATGGTTTAGAAATTTTTTCATATGCACCCCAGAAAAGCAGAGTAACAAGCAAAATATCCTCAAATATGAAAATTCAACTTTGAGCCCCTGTAGATCCATGAGGGTTGGACCTAGGGGGCTGAGATTTTCAGAATTTTTATTTTTCATTGTGAGTTGTGAATTTATAGATCTTGAAATCTATATGATAAGTACATGGTTAATTTCAACTTCATTTTTTTGGCCTGCGACGTTTGTTGTGGAATAGCCCATATATACACTCTCGCAACTTACTAGCTTATATTTTATATACTATAGAGAAGTAATATTTGCTTTAGCTTAGAGTCCGACATAAGCACAGGAATTTGCATTTAAAGCAGCAATATTTAAAAAAAAATGCTTGCCAAGATCAAGACCACTCGCGTTCTTATTGCATCGATTTCTTTACACTGTACATATAGCTGATTCTGTGTAGAATTGAATTGCCCAAAAGTTGTTGTCATTTAAGGTTGACGAAATTCGCTCGACTAAACCTCGTTTCAGGAGTGACTTGTAAAAAAAAAAGAAGAGTTTGGTTGACAACTCTACATAATGACATTTTTTCGTTAATTACAATTTTATTTGGAATGTCTTTTATTTTTGAGTAAATTTTAAATGTGTATTTTCTAATAGACTCTACATAGGTAGAATTGTCACATGCAGATTTTACATCAATACACAAGTTACACCGCTCCCGCAAGCGGTAAACCACTTTTAAAAGTACTAGTTGAAGTGACTTTGTAGTACTGTTTACATGTGGTAGAAACGTTTGTTCATCTTTTAATATTTTACAAAACGGACACGAAAACATAATATAAATTATTTATTATTATGCTTGACTTCGAAATTTCAAAATAATACACCAAAAGATAAGAAAAAAAAAAAAGATATTTGAAGATATTTTACCAATTTCGAGCAAAAAATATCATTTCTCATATTGAATAATTGATTATATGATACTAAAAATAAAAACTATTATCGTAAAATTGCCGTAACATTTTCAATAATACGTTTGATTAATATTAAGTACCCTCTACTTTGCACGTGGATGTAGCCTTTTAGCTATCTTTTTTTTAATAATTTTTTAAAAAGTTTAGATTTAAGATTAGTTTAACACACAAAAAAAGATGATTATAAATGATAAAATTCTTAATACTAATAGAATAATCAGTTTCGTTTAAAATAGGGTATCTCCTACTCTGAGTATGCTTCAACTATCTTTTTTTTAATAGTTGTAATAGCTTTTTCAGTCGATGGAAACTTTTTATCCCAAACAGTTTTGACATTCAAAACTTTTTGAATAAGAGTATAGAGATTTTCACTTTTGAAGGGATATTTCAACAGAAGTACATGGAATAAATTATAAATGCATGCAAAGATGATGGTACTTTATACGTGAAATCATTTATGCAGACGTAGTTGTCTTTAATTTCGAGAAGAGTAAGTCCAACGGCGATCACGAAGAGTTGAATGGTTGTATTGTTGGTGTATAGAGTTGGTGTCGATGAGATCTGTTACAGTGGACTTTTTGATGACTCTTTTTTTGAGACGTTTAGCACCTTTTATGAGAAAAGGAGAGTCCAAAGTATTTAAGATATGATTGTCACTGAGATCCTTGGGGATGTCCCTTATAATTCCTTGCCTGAAAAGTCTGTGGTAAGGGATGGAAGCTTTTAAATTTTTTTGAAATATAATATTTTCAGAGACAAGTTTGTTAGCTGAACAACCGTTTTTGAGAATGACTGTAATTTTGTTTTTGCCTGAGGATTTGATTGAAATGAGGTTGAGACCATAGGAAGGAGAAAGTAAGCGACCAATAGAAGTAGGGTTTAAGGGTGAAAATGTAGAGGTGGAGGATCTTCTCGTGTAAAAAAAAGTCTGGCAAAAGTCTGGCAAAAAGTTGTCATAGAAGTCTGGCAGTTTATCTGACTCAAGTCTGACGCATGCAAAAACGCCAGACTTCCAACCAAAATTTGTCAGACTCTTCCCGATAGCTGTTTTTCGACTTTGTATAATATTTAAAAAAATTTTTTTTTAAAATTAACACTAATTTTCTCCAAACTTACTCGTTATACAAGTATAAAAAAATTAAAACCTACTGAGGAAGTCTGGCGAAATTTACCAGATTCGCGCCTTGACGATTAGATTTAAGTAAAATACATTAAGATATTTCACTTATACACACACACGCGCGCAAAAACACGCACTCTTTCCCCTATTCTTTTCGGTGCTGCTGTCTGTCTCCGAGCCGATACAAAAACTTTGAATCCATTTTCTTACATCCTAAAACACACATTTATAAAAGTGCAGCAACGAGAGCTGTATTTTTCTTTTTCCTAAATATAATTTTCATATTTTTATCACGGCACCACACTCATATATGCAGCATCTTTTCCTGTTTTCAGTATTTCGATCATTCATAAAAGTAAATGGGCATTAGGGTGTCCGTTATTTCCCGACTTTTTTGTATTGCTTCTCCCCCCACCTAGATGTCTTCTATTTGATAAGACAATGAGAAAGCCGGGTTATAGAGTTCGAAAAAATGATTTTAAGGTGGCCCCCAAGCGGCTTGAAGCTTACATGTATTTTAAATGGGAAAAACTTAAAAATTTGATTCTCAGCGATAAAAATGATGGAAAAATTTGAAAAAATTCAGCAACCCATGTATTTTATGTATTTTTTGACGAGGAATCGATTGGTGACCTTGAATTTGACCTTGAACATAACCTCAAAGCTACAGCGAACCAAAAATCGTTTTGTTCACGGTGACCCTTATTTTTTATTGGAGATTCGAAAAGAGCGGAAAATTTCATGTCTGATTATGTCTTTCGATTTTTTTTCAAGGGTATTCAAAAGGCGCTGCAGATATAGATAAAGCCCTAACTAGTAAAAATTCGAAAATTGCACGCTAAAATTAGGGTTTTATTTGTATCTGTAGCATCTTTATAATGCCCTTGAAAAAAAATCAAATGACATAATTTGATTTGAAATTTTCCGCTCTTTTCGAATCTGCAATAAAAAGTGGGGGTTACCGCAAAAAAAACGATTTTTCTCAATATTTTGTTCGCTGTAGCTTTGAGGTTATGTTCAAGGTCAAATTTAAGGTCACCAATCGATTCCTCGTCAAAAAATACATAAAATACATGGGTTGCTGAATTTTTTCAAATTTTTTCATCATTTTTATCGCTGAGAATCAAATTTTTAAGTTTTTCCCATTTAAAATACATGTAAGCTTTAAGCCGCTTGGGGGCCACCTTAAAATCATTTTTTTGAACTCTATAACCCGGCTTTCTCATTGTCTAATCAAATAGAAGTCATCTAGGTGGGGGGGAGAAGCAATACAAAAAAGTCGGGAAATAACGGACACCCTAATGGGCATGTCTATAACTTAGCTCGACATCAACACCTCTTCCGAAAAATTGGGCGAGCAACCGAACTTAGCCTCACACATTTATGACAGCTCTTTGTTTATTTTCAGGTTGTCAAGCAATTTGCAATGCATAAATAACTAAGCAAATAAACAAAGAGCATTATGATGTTTTTTTCAATACATTGATGCATAATTTAATTAAGCGAAATATTATTTAACTATAACTTAACAATTATTGACCCAATTGAATATTATTAAGCAATAAGGAGTTGTTTCATTGTTTAAACTTATGCATTTCCCCTCGCATACGCTCGTGCGCTAACCTCACTTCGCGATACCAGAAAGTGCGACTCCTGACTCGGAAAAGGGGGCATAAATGTGAACTTAGCACAGTGCTATAATAGTATATTATGATACGTGTGACTTAAGCAGGCCATTATTGCACGTCACGGTTAGCACCCGAGCGAAGCGAGGGTGCTAGTGCCGTGGTAAGAATGGGC